CTTGGGCAAGTAATCCCGGGATTTTCGGGATTTGTAATTTGCACTGATGGCAATAATAGAAACTCCGTTTCTTGAGCAGTATTGGCCATATTTATTTTTTTATTTAATAATTAATATTTTTTATAAATGTCTAGCTCATTGTAACTACATATAACACCGCGCGATAGTAAATTTTAAACACAAATATCAATATATTCGCGGAACCATGGGCAAATATAGTAAAATTGCGTTTCCAGTTTTTCACGCTGACGTCAGTAATTCAAAAATGATTTAAAAAATTCAGAGAAATTTGCTTCGAGAAGAAGTAAGGGTATAAAATTAATGAGGAAATCCTGTAGAATTTAAACATATTCAAGTTTCTAGCGCAGAAGGGCTAGTAAATATTGAAAATGTCATTTTAAAATTTTATCCTTGAAATTTCGCAATATTTGTTCGAATTTCGTTCTTCTAACTTTGTCAGCTTAAAAATTACCTATTCGTCCTGGTGGAGCAAAACAATTTTATTTTTTTTTTAATTCTAAAGAAATTTCCTATTGCATTTGTTACCCATATTTTTATTCTACATTCCATTGAATTTTTTAATTTAATTTTAATCATTTTTGGAACTAAGGCATCCACACACCTTTGCGATTCTGTCGCAACGAGTCCGTACCGTTTTTGATGCTACAGAGGTTACTGCTTCGAAAACGCAAGTACGCACACATCTGTGCGATTTTATCGCAGTAAAAACTGTCAATTTATAGACAAACAAAAAATATTAAAAAATAAAAATAATTCTTAAGTTGTCTACATCAAATATCTTTTGTTTTCTTACGATCAATTTTGTTTTAATATTGTAAAATCCTTCTGAATCCTTCTATTGACCTTTTCGTTCTAAAGGGTATAAATGCGCCTTGTTTGCCAACATTTTAAAATCATATAACAAGGCGAATTATAAATTCGCATATATATTATAAATTCGCCGTCATATAAAATTTAAAATAAAAAAATAAAAATTTGTTCACAATTGTTGTTGTTTGGGATTGAAATTGAGAATGTATGTGCGAGTTTGAGTTTTGAATTTTAAAATTTAGTTGCGTTCCCTAACTCACAAGAAGTTGCAAGAACTTACAGGAATTTACCAGAAAGCGTTCCCGTACTCAGTTCTCTGGCTTCTTTTGCCTTTTGACAGTTTTACAGGTTTTACCAGAAAAGTTGGGGAACGCAACTTTTATTTTGCATTTAACAAGGCAAATTTATACAAGGTGAGGTTTAAAGGCGAATTTATACAAGGTCAAGGTGTATTAAACAAGGTGGTGTTGGGGCGACAGCTGAGTTTTTC